CTCCCTCCTCTGTGAGGGCAGATCTGCACGTCCCCCCCCCAATAGCTAGCAATCCAAAACAGTCCAGTGGAGCCTGAACGGTGGGTGTTGCTTTCTGACACACTTCTGGTGATGTCAGGGGGTGCGGCATATGCAAATAGGCTATGCTAATGAGTTATGCTAATGAGCTCCTGCACCTCTTTTTCCACGAAATTACCCCTGTGTGGAACAATAAAGCCATCGATCGGATGCTACCATATTAGGGTTCCCAGGTCCTCCTTGGCCACCGGCAGGGAAACTCCTGGTGATTGGAAGATGGAGACTACGGGGGACAGGGACATCAGCGGGGGGCAAGGCCACAGAGTCCATCTTCCAAAGCAGCCAATTTCTCCAGGGGAACTGATCTCTGTCGTCTGGACATGGGATCTCCAGGCCCCACCCGGAGGCTGGCATCCAGAGACCATATGTATCATTCAGTTAACTCTAATGTCATGTTAATATTTTGCCATATGTCATTTGGTAATATTTTGCTGCGGTGGCTCAAGTGGTTAAGACGCTGAACTGCAGGCTGTGGAAGGTCAGTAGTTCAGCAGTTCGAGACCCGAGTTGCTGCAAGACGGAGTGAGCTCCCGTCTCTAGTTCCAGCTTCTGCCAACCTAGCTGTTCGAAAGCAAGACATTGCAAGTAGATAGATAGGTACCACTTCGGTGGGAAGGTAACAGCGTTCCGTGCGCCTTGGTGTTAAGTCATACCGGCCACATGACCACAGAAACGTCTTCGGACAGCGCTGGCTCTTTGGCTTTGAAACAGAGATGAGCACCGCAACCCTAGAGTCGGATTCGACTGGCTTTCGAGCAAGGGGAACCTTTACCTTTACCTTAATATTTTGCACCTTTTTTTTTTACATTTTTAAAATAAAAACCAACCGACTGACCATATAACCAGCTGGACCTTCAACGGCTCCGGCAGGAGACTCAAAGGTCTGAATGACCTTCCGGCTGCCACCCGCAAATGTTTTGGTGAGTTGTTGGTTGCTCTCACCAAGCCCGTGCCAGAGAGTTGACCAAAGAGTGACATATCCCCTCGGCAGCTTCCTCCTCGTCCTGTGTGTGTTTGGGTTTTTTCCATTCCTATGTTGGGTACTCAACAGTCCCTGGCTGTGCGGCAGGCAGCGGCTGGACCTGGGGTTTCCCACGAGGCCTTAGCTGGTCTCAGATTTCTCCCTCCCTGGGTCTGCCCAGGTGCCGCTGAAATCCACCCAAGCCTCACCCCTGTGGTGGGTTCCAGTGCGTCAACCTCCTCCACTCCCTGAGGTTGTGGGTCAGAGACACCAGAGGCTTTCCGAAAGCCCTGTGGTCTGGGGTGGGTCTCTTGGTTTGCTCACCTTGTGCAATCAGACATGACTTTTCTATCCTGTTTGGGGGCTGGGATAGCCACAAGGTCTCTTGCGACAAGGTCTCATCACGGTGCCTAAGGAGCAGGCGTTTCTGCCCTGCCGGAGGCCGCTGCAATACCAAGGCCCTCCTTCTCTCCCCTTGTCTGATAGACCAGCATGATAGCCAGCCGAAATGTCAAAACAGGCTGACTCAGAAGCCCAGACAAAGAACACCCTGTGAATCACGGCCTACAATATTTTGCAACCCGTGTAAGTCGGTTCATGCTTCTGACTTAAGAGCTTCAAGTCAAGAGACGCCAGGAAGTAAAAAAGCACTTCCATTTCCATTAAAAAAAAAAACACATGCAAAATCTGAATTTTTCTTTAGGTTTTCTCATTCAAAAATAGGGTGGTGACTGCACTGTTCCCCCTAAGCTGAGTTAGTGTGAGCTAGCTCACAGTTTTTTAGCCTCCAGCTCACACATTTTTGTCTTAGCTCAGGAAGGAGGGCTCCAGGAGCAAACTAATTTATGCAGGAGCCAAATCACCCGCTCACAACTTTCATGCCAATAGCTCACATCGTAGAATTTTTGCTCACAAGACTCCACAGCTTAGAGGGAACATTGGAAAAGGGGCCTCCCCTCAGCCTGCCCCCCCCCAAGGAGGGAGAAAGAAAGAGCCAGCTAGAAGAAAGGAGGAGCTCTGGTACTCCCCCTCCTTGCCAGCCCAGACTGCCCCACTCTGCCTCGACCCAGCTGGGCACTCTCCTTCTCGCCACTCTGTTGGTCTAACCAAGGTGTGTGTGTGTGGGGGGGAGCAGGCCATCCCGGTGGCCAGAACAGCAAATCCATCACTGCACACGCACGGGGCCGGCTCCAGGTCTTTTTGTACACTAGACGAGGCTACCTTCTAGCACCCCCCCCCCAATGCGCCCACCAATTATGGAGATCTCCTGGGATCAGAACTGAACTCCAGGTGACAGAGATCAGCGCCCCTGGAGAAAATGGGCACTTTGGGGGGTGGATTCTATGCATCCTACCCCACTGAAGTCTCTCCCCTCCCCAGGCCTTGTCCTACCCGAGGCTCCATCCCCAGAATCTCCAGGAATTTTCATTCCTGGAGCTGGCAACCCTACCTGAGACTCTAGTTCTGGGGGGTTGTGTGTCATTTTCAGTTGGAATCTTAGCTTTTGGGTGGCATACTAAAATCTCAGGTTGTATTCTCAGGAGCATGAGCCAGCCCCCACACTTGGCGGCTTCCCCTCAGAAAGGCCTGCACGTCACAACGGCTGCACGTACAAATCGGAGGCAATCTGGCACTAAGAAGAAGAAGAAGAAGAGAAGAGATTGGATTTATACCCCGCCCTTCACTTGGAGTCTCAGAGCGGCTTACAAACTCCTTTCCCTTCCCTTCCCCACAACAGACACCCTGTGAGGTGGGTGGGGCTGAGAGAACTCTGACACAAACTGCTCTTTTCCAAGGACAGCTGTGCCAGAGCTTGTGACTGACCCAAGGTCATCCAGCCAGGTGCAAGTGGAGGAGTGGGGGAATCAACCCCGGTTCTCCCAGATTAGAGTCTGCGCACTTAACCACTACACCAAACGCTTTACGTTTTATATTGAGGGCAGTTTCTTCAAAGCCATCATCTGGTACAAGACCTCTCGTGCCCTTTCTCCTTACTGTGTGGCCAGGCCACACCCCTGGCATCTCCCTCCGCGCGTTCTTCTATCCCCTCGGCATTTGTAACATTTCTGGCCTGTGGACAGGGCTTTTTCCTGCTAAACCTGCGGGCATGATGGAACCGGAATAAACCCTGTGGTTATGAATCACACCACGTTCATTTTGTAAGGGGAGATATGTGGAAACAGTAAAGGGTTGAGATTCAGAATTTCTAAGAATCTGACGCCACATAGTGACGGGAAATAACACAGGAAGAAATTATACAAAAGCCCTAACTAATCCGTTTCAGTCCTCTCCTGCCGGCTGTACACATACAAATCCAGGGTGAAATATTCTTCCCCATAGACCGGTGTTATTGATTCTTCCTTGCTAGGTGTAGGACAGTGATGGCGAACCTTTTAGGGACCGAGTGCCCAAACTGCGACCCAAAACCCACTTATTTATCGCAAAGTGCCAACACGGCCATTTAACCTGAATACGGAGGTTTTATTTTAGAAAAAACAACTCATACATCAACGTAAGAGGATCCAAACAAAGTAAGGAAAGCAATCCCAAATGCTCTCATTGACTTAAAATGATTTGGCAGAGGATTCGACACTTTAATGGTGGTCTGGGCCTGGCTGGGGCGATGGCACGCGTGCCCACAGAGAGTACTTCGAGTGCCACCTCTGGCACCCCTGCCATAGGTTCTCCACCACTGGTGTAGGAGAACACCTGGTCCTTACCCCACTCCCTGGCTGCCTTCTTGCCAAAGCCATTCACCTTTATTTCTCCCACTGCTCAGACTGTCTCTAGGGTTGCCAGGTCTTACCTGGGTCCCGGTGGGGGGCTCCAGCCCACTTCCTGGAGTCTCCTTGTGCACGCGTAAAGCATGCATGCCGTGATGACATCACCTGGAAGTGAGGTCATCGTGACAGGCATGTTGTGTAGGGGACGCTCTAGCATTTGGGTAAAACCCCCCACAACTCTATGGTCACCATAGAGTTTTTACTCAAATGCTAGAACGTCCCCCGAATGACGTGTCCAGCACATTGACGTCATCACACCGGGCATGTCAGACACAATGGGGCTCTTTGGGGGCGGTGCTCTGCCCGCCAGCCAGCTGGCCCACGGCGAATTGGGGGGCGGAAAACGGGGGGAAACCCACCCCCATGGGGGGGTTTGTCAACCCTAACTGCCTCAAATCCTAGGACTCATTTCCCAGTTGGGGCTAGTTCAAGATGTTTTATCACTGCAAGCCAGGGAATGCCAAAAAGGGTTGACCTGAACTCAGCTAGCTGCAGTGCAGGTCCAGGAGGGATTGCCAATCCTTTCTCTGCCACTGAGGTTTGGGAGCTGGCTGAGCTGCTGAATTCGTACATTGGCACCCTCCACCCTCCTGAAACTGATGCCACGCCCATCAGATCTTGCCGCAAAATCCCCTTTCCCCATCAAACCAACTTCATCTTGAAAAGAATGCCTGTTAGATGCAGCTGCAGTGGCTGACCTTCGCCTTTTACTCTCCAGCATCTCCTCTCCCCTTCCACACTGTAAACTCCTTGGGGCAGGGAGCTGTCTGTTTTTGGGTTTGGCCTGTGAAGGTCTGTAGGGTGCTACAGACATCTAGTTCCATCTGTTTTGTTCCATTTTGCCTCCAAGGAGTTTAGGTCGGCGCCCACGAGTCTCTGTCACATAAAATAACAAACCCCCTCCATGAGCTAGCTCAAAGCGCCTGGGAGGTTTTCCGAGTTGTGACAATGTAAGAATCAGCTTCAGGGCTGAATTTCAGGCTAGGCCCTGGCTTACTGAATCCTTCAACCTAATTCCTTAAAGAGGCCAGCAAGAAAGGAAAGGACACTTGAGCATAAAGAGAGTACCTTATATGCACCACTGAGAAACCACACCCAGACCCCCGTATATCTGAGCCTAAAGGACAGGGAGGCCAGAGACAGCATAACAGCCAGATCACAAGACGTCACAGTCCTGCTGTACACTGCTTTGGTCAGGCCACACCGGGAGTACTGCATGCAGTTCTGGAGGCTTCACTTCAAGAAGAAGAAGCGAAGAGGAGATTGGATTTATACCCCGCCCTTCACTACCCAAGGGAGTCTCAAAGCGGCTTACAAACTCCTTTCCCTTCCCCTCCCCACAACAAACACCCTGTGAGGTCGGTGGGGCTGGGAGAGCTCTTTTTCAAGAACTGCCCTTTCAAGGACAGCTCTGACAGAACGATGACTTGCCCAAGGTCATCCAGCAGCTGCAAGTGGAGGAGTGGGGAATCAAAGCCGGTTCTCCCAGATTAGAGTCCACGCACTTAACCACGACAGCAGACTGGCTCTCAAAAAGGATGTGGACAGAATGCAGCGGGTGCAGAGGAGATTGGGGGCCTGGAGACCAAGAAGCCCTGTGAGGAAAGGCTGAGGGACTTGGGAATGTTCAGTCTGGAGAAGAGGAGGAGGCAGAGGGGGGACAGGATTGCCCTCTTGAAGGATTTGAAGGGCTGTGTCACTTAGAGGAGGGGAAGGAGCTGTTCCTGTTGGCGGCAGAGGAGAGAACTCGCAACTATAGGTTTAAATTAAGGGCAGGAAGGCACGGGTGGATATTAGAAAATTTTTGTTTTAGAGTAAGAGTTTTCAGCAGTGGAATGGGCTGCCTAGGGAGGCGGTGAGCTTCCCCCTCACTGGGGGTCTTCAAACAGCAGCTGGATGAACACTTGTCAGGGATGCTTAACGCTGATCCTGCACTGCGCAGGGGGTTGGACTAGATGGCCTCTATGGACCCTCCCCACTCTATGACTTTATTATTCTAAGTCTGAGGCATTTGCACACTAACCTTGCCCGAGGGGCATTTTGTCTTGCGGGAGAGACAGACAAACACCACCCCGATTTTGGTATGTGTCCCCCCGCAGGGCAACACCAAGTGCAAGGGGGAGCAAGCATGGCATGGGGGGGGGGGTTAACCCCCCACACCCCTGCCCCAAGGTCCCAATCTGAATCTTTGGCTGCAATCACACACGCTCAATAATACACTTTCAATCCACTTTCAATGTACTTTCCAACTGGATTTTTGCCAGTTCACACAGTAAAATCCAGTTGGAAACTGCATTGAAAGTGGATTATATCGTGCAGGGGTGTCAAACATGCGGCCGGGGGGCCGGATCAGGCCCCCAGAGGGCTTCCATCAGGCCCACAGTGGAACCGGCCATCTCCTGCTTCCAGTTCTGCTGCTGCTGCTGCATCATCGCTTTGCTTCGCCAGACTCTCTTAATCGCTCAGCCATTTCATGTTCTAACCTGGGTCCTAAACTCAGAACTCCAGATTTCTATGGTGAATGTCGATAAATCAAAAGTAGGTTTGCAGCTTACAGAGCTAACGTTTTAAGCATGTTTTATTTTAAGTGGGGAAAAAAACCTTTGTGTTTGTGCCCTTTATCAAGTTTATATCTCTGCTCTCTGGCATGACATTTTATGACACATACATGGCCCGGCCCAACAACGTCTCATTTACGTCTGATCTGGCCCTCGTAACAAATGAGTTTGACACCCCTGATGTCGTGTGTGTGATTGCAGCCTAAATATGGCAATGTGCGGTTTAATTTCCTAAAGGAGCTTCGTTCCCGGATCTCCCAGACTTGGCCCCTGCCTGCCCTCTGGAGATCACAGCCTGGTCATGCGTCCCTCACCTGGTTCGTCGATGACGTACAAGATGGACTTGCCACTGGAGTCCTCATAATACTGGAAGCGGACCACACAGTCGTTCTCGTCCTTGTACGTGCAGTTCACGGCGTCTTTTCCATGGTATCCTGCAAGGGGAGGTGTGGCGGGGAGGAGAGAACACAAGAGCCGTCTGTCACGCTAAGGGCCCGTTCCAGAGGAGCCTTCTGGGTCCCCAGCAGTGACCACTTGGCTGACCACAGCAGACAGAGAATGGTTCAGGGTGGGTCGGCGTGTCGGTCTGAAGCCGCAGAACAAAGTTCGAGTCCAGTGGCACCTCGGAGACCAACAAAGTCTAATTCTGGGTATACCTTGAACAAAACTTTGTGGGTCTTAAAGGTGCCACTGGACACGCACTTCGTCCGGGCACAGTATGTGAAGGACAAAACTGTTCTCTCTGATTTGACCCCTGGTCATAAGGGATTCTGTGCTCTGTGCTGCATTTGTCGACGCTCAGAGCCTTTGAAACAAATCTGTCTGGGTGTTTTCAGTCAACTTCCTGCAGGACGGGGAGGAGGAGGAGATTGGATTTATACCCCACCCTTCACTACCCAAAAGGAGTCTCCGAGCGGCTTACAATCTCCCTTCCCCTCCCCACAACAGACACCCCGTGAGGTCGGTGGGGCTGAGAGAGCTCTTTCCAGAACTATCCTTGAGAGAACAGCTCCGAGAGAACTTGTGACTGACCCAAGGTCGCACCAGTAGCTGCATGCGGAGCAGTGGGGAATCAAACCCGGTTCTCCCAGATTACAGTCCAGGCTCCTAACCACTGCACCCAACGGGCTCAGACGTCAGTTTGGCTGAGACCAATGGGAGCAGACGGAGGACAGGAAAGCACAGGTGGGCTGGGACCATGAAAACAGCCAGGGGCAAGCTGAGCTTCACTTGGCCTGCACCGACAACAGTGGGTGCAGGGGCACCCACTGCCTCCTCCCCCATCGCCAGCCGCTCCCTGCCATGGGGATGAGTACTGTCCAGAACAAGAATACCGCCCTCCCACACACTTACAAATTCTTCAGTGCGATTGACTTCTTCAACGACAGCAAAAAACAA